GGGGGGGCGGGAACAGGCTAAAGCCTCATTCAGTAAGAATTATCATAGTACCATCACCTATCAATTAAAAACACCAACATGCTAGAATAACAATACCAAAAAGATCTGACACACAGCTTCCAAACTGACTGGTGCCCCCCTGCAACCACCAAACCCATTGATGTCTGTGAATTCTGGCTTATCAGCTTGACACATAGCATTAGCTTCAGCTAATAAACAAATCCAGTTCCAGCATGCAAGCAGTTTCATTTGCTTTGGTAAGAAAACCACTGAACTTTCAATTACAAAACAGCTGCACCTATAAACAGTTTGATCACTTGTTTTATTGCTGGTTGACTGTCATCCTCACACTGTAGAGCTTTATGGCATAATTTGAGGAGGAAGTGGATGGGAAACAACTTCATTGTCACTTACCAGAACTGCCCCTCTTGCTTCTACTGATAAAGCTAAAGCTAGGGAACCCTCTATGCTATCTGTACATGGTTTAGTAATGGGACGAATATGCTTACAGGCCTACCTGTGGCTTCTGAGCATCAAATCTTGACTAAAGCCCAAATTACTCTGCCTTTCTTCATTAAGCCATAGCACTAAAAATGGATGGAAACCAGGTATAGAGCGTCAGCTAATAGTAAAAGTCTTCTTGTTATTCAAGGAAGAGTAGGAAGGAAGGAATCAGAAGAACAGACTGCAACCTTACAAATATAACCCTTTACAAAGATTCAATTGTACAGTCCTTCCCTAAGGTAGCACACTACAAGTCTGGCTGCTCAAATATTGTACCCACTTCTATTAACAAAGATGAAAGTGAAAATAACATTTACGTTAGACTAACTACATTGCAAATTTACTGGAGAGTAAACAAGGACACATATATAACAAACTTACTGGAATATGTGGTAAAGTGATTGTTACATCATCTCCTTTACCCACTTGGAGTTCCCCCTCACAAGATGTATCAATCGATGCTGGCTTAAAATCATCTAAAGAGGAAAACAATTGTGATTACATTTCTTATAGCCTTCAGAAGCATCATCCTGCCCTGCAAAGCGTCACTGCACATTCACTGTGATTATAGGGAATGCTAAAATACATGCTAGTGTTTACAGCGGGGGTGGAATAACACACCAGTACAATGTGTCTATGCTCAGTGCCCCAGTGATATGACGGTACCAGATTCTAAACCTCCTTTTTAAAATGGAAGTAAGGTTCCAGACCTTCTGTTTGAAGACCAAAAGCAGACTTCTCCAAACCCCAGACTTTGAATGACAATTTCGCAGGCAAGTGTAAAACTGTACCATGCATCTCAAAAGAGCATCAACTTCAAGACTCGGGGCTCTGTGCGGCTCCTGCCAATTCCAAACCTGAGGACTCTCTCTGTGACAAAGACTAATTTAGTGATACCAACCTACTTAGCCTTACTGATATTTCTGGCTATTTAACAGCCATCTTGTCTCCACGATACCTCCTCAAAGGTAGAGGGGACCTCAGATCTCACTTAGGAGGAAAAAAAAAAAAGAGGTGCTGATCTTACTTCAGCAGGCTCCATGCTAGTCCAAAGATACTGTGGATGGAAAGCATGACTAAGGTGAGACACTGTAATAGCTTTAAACTAACCCTAGTTTCAAGTATTTTTGCTGCACTGTATAGGATGCTTTGTCCCCAAACAAGGTACTTCTGTTTAGTGTATTTATTTGAACTAATAGCACTTTAACTTAAAAGTATTTTCTCCTCATTATTTTGTTGTGCTGATGAGCCATAAAAACCAGAAAAAAGTATCAGAACCTGTAATATTTTGAACAGAGGATTTAGACAAAGTGAAGTAAGATCAGACAGATATAGGTTGATTTGCTTTGTTTATTTTTAAAATAAGCCCCCATTCAATTCTAGCATCTCTGGATACAAAGAGGTGCAATTATATTCACGATCAAGGCTTTTAATTACTGCATTAGTTAAGAAATTAATATCTCAGAACAAATTAAAAATATAATTCTACTATGAAAAGCACATTTACAGAAAAAAACCAAAACCCCAGCTTCTAATAAATTGTCATTAAGAGGATGTTAATGTCCAACTGAGTTTTACTTTGACAGCACAACAAACAGAATCAGGCACACTTGACTTAATCCTCATGCCTTCACTGCCAGACCAAATCATACCCTTCATTTTCATCCAAGCAATCTATTTCTAGCTATTGTTTCCCACCTACTTTATGTGCAAGCTTGCTAAATAAAACAAACCAGCTGTACAAGAGCTAGCGTCTTTGCCAAAAAGGGATCAAGAGTTTCAACAGCGCAGTCACTAAATTAAAAGGAATATCACTATCACACTTCTTTCTTCGGTATCAGCAAAATATAGTTACTCTAAACAAACACTCAACAAATTGTTTTCATTTGGTTAGCTTACTAAGTGTAGATGCTTGGCTAATCTTGCTGTAGATCAGGTGCACATATGTCCCTCCAAATGTACTCACAGTCCTTCTTCCAAAAGTCAAATGTTTTTAAGATGTGTTTTCCAGGGATAATTCAGTTTTTCAGTACGGTATTTCATAAACATTACGGAAAGGAATGAAATATTTTAAGAAGGCCGAAACAAATTTAGCCTACAAAATCCTCTTATTGTAGTTTCTCTGAAGAGGATTACGGGAACAATATAATGCTTGGATCCCAGATAAATAATTTCAGATCAACAGTTAGGAAAAAAAAAAATGTATAACCAGGAAATTAAGAGATCTCACTTGAAAGTCATGGAAGGAAAATAAAGCACACAGAAAGCTCTTTTGAAATAAAACTGCATTCTTCCAGTTATAGTCTGAAGAGCTTTGGCTTTGCAGTCCCTTAAGAAATTGATTGTTGAAGCACTTTCAGTTCTAGAAATCTAGTATATTTCTATCTGGATATGGCTTGGATTTAATTCATACATTATCAGACAACCTCATTCATTTGATAGTTGGGCTATTTTAAAATTTTGATTTATAAATGGAGATTTGCTAATACGTTAGTGCTGGATAAAACTGTTCAGTGTTATGTATAAACAGTTAAATGTACTAAACATATGGTATGGTATTTTTTAGCATGGTGGAATTATGTATAACCAGAGGGATGAAAGACACAAAATTTAAGTGTTAATCCACTAGACAGAGTTTACTGTTGAGCAAAATAGCTTTGCCTCAATCATTGACCATCTGCTTGAGTAACAGCTCAATCTAGAAAGTTGTTCTTTCAAGTCACGCTTGGGTGACTAATATCACCGAAATTACTTACTCGTAGTGTATGAATACAGGCCGTGAGACTGGGCCTAGGATTATGCATCATAAAACAAAAAATCCTACTGTTAGCTGTATAAATTCCCCACCTTAATAGAAAGCTACTGAAATATATTTAGTATTAGTTTCATTTACTGCTGGTGATTTACTACTCATTTTAAATCCTGGACTCATTTAGGGGAAGAAAAAGCAATTTCTTATCCACAGAATTCAAGTACAGAGATACAGTGAGGTCCTCTTCAAAACAATCTTCTAATATTAAATTAAATGTACCCAATGCTAAATAGAGCAGTTGGAATAACATCTGGTGTCTTTAAAAAACCCACATACTCTTCCAATTATTTAAAAACTTTGAAACTGCTCGAGATCCTACCTCAGGTTTTATCTTACACTTATTAGGCAGTACCGTATGCGTTTGAGTCATTTCTGCTTGCTTTCCTGGAAGTGACTTATTACAGCTGGCTGGAGTCGGGACAGCCAGCGATGGGGCTGCTGGGTTTACACGTTGCCTCATCGTGAAAATAACCAGTTAAAAATCAAACTGTGGGCGCTTGGGCTGCCAACCAGACGCACTCTTCTCCAGGCACTCCCGCCAGGCCGGGGCCTGTGGTGACCTGTCCTGCAACTGCCATAAAAAAAATATAAAATAAAATGGCAAGCCACCCCCTCACGGAGGGGATCGTTTCGCGCTCCTAAGCGATCCACGGACATTTCACGAAAAACTTTCATAAGCTGTTCGTCTTCCCTGGCCTGCCTCGCTCGAACCTCCTTCCTACGAGCGCTCTCGGCCGTCACCCACCCTCCCCGTCTCCCCTCAGGCTACCCGCCGGGCTGGGACACCTCTGCGGGGAAAACACCCGTGGGCGTGGGCTGGGAGGGAAGATGGGCGCCGAGGGAGCGGGAAAGGGGGG